AATGTTGTTAATTTAGTTGTGTGTGTGTGTGTGTGTGTGTGTGTGTGTGTGTGTGTGGGTGGGGGTTGCCATTTTTATTACATTTTTTTTTTTATGTCAGTATAGCTGTTATTAGTAATGCTTATTTCAGTTTAAGTTATTTCAGAACATCAAGTTAAATTAGATAAAAATGAGAAATGTCGCCTTGGCATCTAGATGAAAAAAAGCTAAAGTTATCATCAAGTTATTGTTAATAACACACACAGTGCCCTCCACCTCTTTCATTTACAAATACAGGTGCATCTCAATAAATTAGAATGACGTGGAAAAGTTCATTTATTTCAGTAATTCAACTCAAATTGTGTATTCTAATTTGTTGAGATAGTGAATTGGTGGGTTTTTGTTAAATGTGAGCCAAAATCATCACAATTAAAAGAACCAAAGACTTAAACTACTTCAGTCTGTGTGCATTGAATTTATTTAATAAACGAGTTTCACAACTTGAGTTGAATTACTGAAATAAATGAACTTTTCCACGACATTCTAATTTATTGAGATGCACCTGTATATGTTACATGGTGAAACTGAGTCGGTTTGTTCAAATTCAAACGGTGTCTCTTTAGAATTAACTCAGTTTTTAGCAATCAATAGCCATGCTTTCTAATCAGAAGGTTATTGCACACAAGGAGCAAGTCGTGATCATCATCCCATTGAACAAGGCACTTGATGCCAGGTTGACCTGTAAGAAGAGTACAGTAGGATAATATGCTACTTACATAATTATTATGGTGTTTTGCCCTCAATTAAATAAACAGCAATAAGGTCATGAGTTCATGAAGTCTTTGAGAACATTTTAATTACTTAACATCAGGAACATGATGTTTCAGATCATTTGACATTAGGATTGCTTATATTATCTTATTACATATGATCTCAACATATTTTAGATCTGAAGAGGTAGCATCTTTAAATTTGAGTAATTTCACTACAAATACATGAGTATTTTTAGTAGTTTGTAACATGCTGGTTTGCATCATAAAATTGATTCTAGCTGTAACTGTTATTGATGTTGGCACGCAGGTTCAACAGGATTTCGAAAGTCTTAAGGAATAACAAGCTCTCTTTTTATTTTGATCTTATCATGATGTCACTCGGTGTTCCCAAGGAAGGCGTATGAGCGAACAAGCAGCAACAAGAATTGCTGAGATGGAAATCTTGTATATCACTAATTGTCCTTAAAAGCTTGAACCTGACATTTGGTTTGGGAACTCTGAGTCTCAGGTTATCTCTGATTTGGGGAAATCGACAGTTAAAAATCTTGGGGTTCAGTTTGATGTCTCTCTGAAATTTGATAAACAGGGCAACTCGGTGGTTAAATCTTGTTTCTTTCATTTGAGATTAATAGCTAAGGTAAAACTGTTTCTGTCATCTAGCAATTCTGAAAAGCTTACTCATGATTTTATTTTTGTAAGACTGGACTGCTGTAATTCCTTGTATGCGGGTGTGAGTCAACAATATGGCACCTTATGAACCCTTATCACAGACTGTGATGACATTTATAACACTATACTTTGTATTGTATTACATTTGCATCAAATTACAAGCTAATGCTATGGTGTTTATTCAGCGGCTGTGGGAATGATGGTAAATTTGACATAGTTCCTTCTTCTGACTGCTGTTATCAAAAATATATTTGATGTAGTCTCTCATTCACTGCTATGGAAGTTTTCAACTATGACAATGTCCGAAATGAAAGATACCCTTGTTCAATACAGTTCAGTTGTCCATTAATGTGTGCTTTATAACTAATAACTAGCTAATATGCATGCTAATACGCAACTTGTTAATAGTGAGAATTGGTCCCTATACTAAAGTGCACCAAATCATTAAAGCAAGATTTTAAAATCGTTGCACAACAGTCAGTCAAAAGAGTTGAGTTAGTTCCAAGAACTTGCATTAGACTCATATTTAATCATTAGTGATCTTTTATTATTCAGGAAAGCACAAATGACACAGCAGGGTTCATTTAGTACTTGGCAGTCTCTATAAATATTGCTGATAGACACCACAGGATAACATGTTCAACCATAAAGATATGGCCAAAATGGGCAAAGCTGTTCCCCCTCATCTTCATCCTGCCCTGAGTCTGCTTTATTCCAGTTATTATCAATTAATTGATAACTTTAACAACCTCCTTCACCCTCTGCCATTTCATTCCTGTCTGAAGAAGGCTCTTAAAATTGTGGCATGTCATAAATAGGTTGATAGAGGATGAAACAGGTATAGAGACAAAGCTTGAGTTAATTGCCTCAAACTTACCCACTGGCCATAAAGTTTCTAATGCATCATGGGTTTGTCTGATAACATGCAAGAACATGGGAGAGGTGACCGATAATCATGCCCTAAGAAGAATAATCATTAACTATAATAGAGGAAGAGATATAATTAAGAGAAATATTACATTGCACAATTCAGTAAAAGAGGGGTGACTGACAAGGATGCTGTGACTTGCGAAATTAAAAAAATGATGATTTGCAGTTCACTGTGTTAACTTTGAATCAGTAAATGCACTGACAGAGCTCATTCAGTGAACTTAAGTCTTTTTGAACAATTCATAAAAGGCATTCATAAGGCTCCAATTTGTGTGTGAATCAGCCTTGTTTTTGACTCACTAGCGTAAGAGTAGTTATGGTTATTTCTTCCACACAAAAAAACCTAACTGTGACTTTTTAGCGCACAATTCTGAGATAAAATTCAGATTTCTGATTCTGAACTGTAAGATATAAACTTGTTATTGTGATAAAAAGAAGCATTCAGGAAAGACTATTTCTCATTCATAATCCATTTGATTCATACTCTTTCACATATTCATCCTTTTGTATTCAATAAATTAAATTTTATAAAGCAATCTGAATTGAAACCCTAGGAGGGATGAATAGAGTTAGACTACTTTAATTTTGGACTACATAATAGCATTCACACATAAAATACAAATGGCCACAAAAATCTGATTTATATTTAAAAGTTTTATTTGTTTAAAGTAAATTTGTAAGTTTTAGTATGAATTTGCAGTATTTTCCTGGCTAGC